TGCTTTTGAGAAGTCTTTTTTTCACATTAAATTTTATTTGGTAATTCCCATTTATGAGGGGGAACCAAAAAAACCCTCAAATTTATTTATAAAGTTGTATATTTATTCTTGTTTAAACTTTAGTTACCTTCAAAATAGTCTCCATTTGATGCAATTCTATTGAGATGCTTTTTCCACTACTCAAAACAGTTTTTAAATTTATCAATTTTGCGGTTTTTTAGTGCTTCTGCCATTTTTTTGTTTCACCTCTTCCGCATTGGCAAAATGTTTCTTTTTGAAGACTTTTTTCATCAGGGAAACAAAAAAGTCACTCAGGGCAAGATTGGGTGAATAGGGATGGTGGGGCATGAGGTTATGTTGTTTTTAGTCAAAAAGCAGTGAACACTGAGTGCAATGTGGGCAGGTGCATTGTCGTGGTGGAAGAACCAGTCACCTGTTTGCCACAACTCAGGATGTTTCTTCTGCAAATCATGAAGCAACCTTCTTGAAACTTCCAGATAAAAATTTTGCTTGACCATTTGATCTGGAGGAACAAATTCTGAATGTACTACAAGGGACTCGCCCTCCAAAAGATAATTCCAGGTTTTTTTGGCACCCCTCACATTATGTGCTCTTTCTAATATATGCTATGATTATGAATTGATTGACGTATACTAGACTTTTGAATGCCTAACATTTGTGTATTTGCATATAGACTATATTTTTACTCTAAATCTCTAAATTTTTAAATAGCTCTCATAGGTTTCTTGATTTTTTATGAGAAACTACAACAATCCCATAGTTCAGATATATTTGATATAATTTACAGTTATTCTTTTATTAGCTTTATTATCCATAAAATCAAATGCTTTAATTTTGTGGAAAATATTAATTTAATTTATATTCATTAATAATTGTCACTGTTTAGTTAATTGTCATTGTTATGTGATCTAATATTTTTATTTTATAAAAAAATTTTATTTTTTTAAGTTACAGCTTTTAAACTTCAAAAGATTTGCACAATTTATATACTCAGTACTTTTTATTTTTATTTTATTTTAATTTTTTTTGAGTCATGAGTCTCACTCTATCACCCAAGCTAGAGTGCAGTGGCAGGCTCACGGTCACCCCAGCGTCAACCTGCTGGGCTCAGGCGATCCTTCTGCCTTAGCCTTCCAAGTAGCTGGAACAACAGGCATGCGCTACCACACTCGGCTAATTTTTTCATTTTTTTTAATTGTAGAGACAAAGTGTCACCAAGTTGCCCATGCTGGTCTTGATCCCCTGGGCTCAGGCAATCCTCTTGCCTCAGCCTCCTAAAGTGCTGGGATTACAGACTTGAGCCACCGTGCCCGGCCACTCAGTACTTTTAAAATTTACTAAATCAATGGATACATTGTTTCTATCATACCTATTATCTACTTATAATTGGCACTTTAAAGCCATGTTTTAAAAGTTTAAGGAAAGTTATATCTAGCACTACAGTTTAATTTCAGAATCTGTTAAAAGATGAAAAATGGTCACATAGAAAATATTGTTTGTTAGCTAAATTACACTACATATTGCATTTGTATCTGTTGCTTCACTGACAAATTTAATACAAGGTTGAAGATTCAAAATTTTAAACAAAAATTTACATTAACATTATTAGTAATAGAATAGAGCATGTTCTATATGATACTGCCAATTTAGAGGGAAATTTTGTGAAAAGTCTGAATTATTATTTGGTAATTTATAATTAATTTTATTTGCCTCACAAATGGCAGCTTACATATCAATTTATCTAGGAGTCTCTTCCATGATCCACTTGGTGCATTTATATAAAGGCATCTACCTGAATCTTTATTAGAAAAATATACATACAAATAAAGACAAAATTAGAATAAATATAGCAAAAGCAAAAAGTTTACTGTCTGCATAATTGTTAGCATTTCTCAAATTATATCAATCATGATGATAAAATTAAATGATCAAAAAAATAAAAGGCTAAAGTTGGAATAAGACTGACATGAAAAATATGGAAGAATAAATATTATAGTCATGAATTAGAGTCATTCAGTTTTATCACCAAGACAGATTTATTTGTTTAAAGCAGTGATCAATACTGTTTTCTGTGCAAGGGCTAATTTCAACTTTATTAAAAAGATTATGAAGTTGTGCTTATCTTCAATTACTTAATTTTGAAAATTACATACTGTTGAGGTCAGGAAATGCTGTATCTTCCATATGATTAAGCATTCTTCTATTGCTTGTTTATCTCTGAGAGGATTTTTTCTTTGACTGACATTTCAGAAACTAACTAAATAAGACCTAAAGTAATTCTAAACAGTATGATTATGTTATATTTGAATTTATTTTGTTCTTGAACAAAACACTTTCTGAATCTGATTTTGGTCTTGTGTCAACTGATTTTCTAAGCTATTTAATGGTAAAATACTATTTTATTTTCTTTTAACATTATGTATTTTATAACAAAAGATTGTATTTCAATTGCAAATGAGAACTGTTTCTACAAAAAGCCTTGGGTCACTTTGCAATAATGTGAGCTTTGTCATTCACTTATTATTTTTGAGGGGTAGTAACTATGCTAAGGATTTAATTGTTATATGAAATATATTTGCCTCCTCCCACTACATATTTCACTGTCTCATTTTTTTTCCTTATGTCTGGGGCCATCAGTGAGACCGCATAAACAGCTAGGAAAACCAACAAGTTCTCTTCCGTTTGTCAGATACTGCCTAAGTAGCCTAAGGAGTAGATCAACATGAGGCTGCAGGATATAGAGATGTGCTGGGTCTTGGTAGACTGTCTCTGGGTCTCTCTTTTCCCTCTATAAAATGAGAGTTATTGAAATTTGACTATAGGTAATTTGGAATGTAGTGGATTGTTGTTTGGTTTGAATATTTCTGGTTGCTTTTAAGCTATCTGGAATAGTATAATCATATCAACTTATGATGAAAACAATTAAGTCCTACAAAAAAGTGGAAAAAAAAAGTTCTCTGTGGTCTTTCACAGCCAAAGTGAAAATAATACATAAAGCCTGGTTATAAATTGAGTTTTATAATAGATTCAATAATTGTTTCCCACTTTATATAAGGGATTGATTAAGAAATAATGTAGTCGGGCTCAGTGGCTCAGCCTGTAATCCCGCGCCTTTGGGAGGCTGAGGTGAGTGAATTGCCTGAGCCCGCGGGTTC